AATAATAATAATAATAATAATAATAATAAATAATTGCTGAAATCCTGCATTCTAATCCATGTTTTGTAAATGTATGAATCTGTTGCTATGTTGCAGAAATAGAACTAAACTCTTTTAGTGAATTGTGAAGATGCAGATCTGGACAAGAGTGCTTCAATGTGCTCTGGGCCCTTCTGATGTGCATTCAGTCCTTCTGATAGAATTGAAAGATACAGCTGTGTTCCCATTGTGCTCTAACCAGTGTCCTGATATGCATCTGGGAGCACTTCAATGTGCATCAATGCCCATTGAGCACCTGTGGTTCATCAGTTACTCCACTGGCTTCTGTTGCACATGAATAGCCATATTTTATTAATGTCATGGCATTCCCTAGGTAAATACGGAGACTGCAAAACTATTCAGTTCAATCTTGTACATATGTCAATTAGGAAGAGGTAAGTCACAAGCAATAATGCCAGACAAAAATAATAAAAATAAAAGAAAGAAAGGTTTGGATGGATAAAGAAGTAATATCAAGATGGTGGTGGATTGATGAGTCGAACCAAAAAGGGAAGAGGAGTGAAGAAAGGGAAACTGATAAGTAGAGGAAACCGTTGTTAAAAATTAGAAAGGAAGAAAGGGGAGATAAGTGAAACAATAAACAGAAATAATCAAAAGGTATCAAGGGGAAAATATAGAAAGGAGAGAGGGAGAAAGAATGAGAATGAGAATGAAAGATAAGTATAAAGGCAAAACCACACAGAGTGGAACGATAAAGGAATGAATGAATGAAAAAAGGTGGGTAGATCAATAGCTGAAAAGGAATAATGAAAGCGAGGGAAGATAAATTTGGAAAGGCCAGGGGAAAAATGTGCAAGTTCAGAAAAGAGAAAAGAAGAATCAAAAAGAAAGAAATAACAGAAGGAGACAGATAGGTTAGTGGAAGAGAATAATGCACCGAGAAAGGAAGAGTAAAAGGGGGAAAGAGACTGATGACTAGAAGAAAGAATAAAAGGAGGGAAAGGAGGACAAAGGAAGAAGGATGGATAGGTCAGACAAGGAATGGTATTTAAGGAGAAGAAAGAGGGGAGAGGAGAAAGATTCATAGGTAGGAGGGATAGAGGGAGGGTGAGAGGAAGGAGAGGAGAAAGCTCTCTCTCTCAAAACAGGAGAGCATTCCCAGCACCAGATGCAAAAGGAAATCCAGATAAACTATAGGAGTGGAAAGCAGAGATCAAGTGCTATGGTATGCCAGCTGTTTCTTTCATTCCCTTTTCCATAGGGATACCTAGCTGATTTCAAAGGTCTTATCGGCCAGACACTCTTGCAAGCTGTATGGAAGGAAGGAGAAAGCCTGCCCCAAAG